GTCTCTGCCTCTCTGTCTCTCTCTGTGTGACTATCATGAATAAATAAATAAAATCTTAAAAAAAAAAAGAATAATTTATAAAATTTAAAAAAAATGTTTAAAAAGGGGGCATAATCAAGACTTGATAGACAGTGAAAAGACAGAAATAGATATTAAACACTTCTCTGCTGAGAAAGCATTCACCTCTCATCATTAGTACAGTGACTTCACACTTATCCCCACTCTGGTCAGCTATGAAGCTTCAACCCTTTCCCTGGCCACTTTGCTTCTCACACTACTCTCACTTCCCACTTTATTATATTAGTATCATCTTTTTAGAGTTCCTATTACATTTTAGGAGTTGAAACCCAAGAATCAGGCTCATGTCTTCTGAAAATGTTCTAAGCTTCCTGTCCTGCTCTGCTGCATTATACAATGCTACTCTGCCAAAGTCTTAGCTCATTTCCTCCACCTTCTTGTCCTGATATGGTGGTACACATCAATCATGCCCTCTCCCTTTCCATTTTCAGACTTGACTCTCTGCTTGGAATGCCCTACCTACCTTGTCCATCTATGAGCATCACACAGGTTATGCAAGGGGCCTTTACTGACAATACTTGCACCCAGACTTCCATCAGCTCTCACAAGTTGTACCTCCCTCTAGTAGAGCACATACTGTATTTCATCAATTCTAAGACATACTGTTCTTCCCACATTTCTTTAAAAACAGGATATATCTTACAACTGATGGCATGCCAGTCTCATTAGCAGCATTTCTTTCTTTCTTGTTAAAGTAACTGTGAGCTTTACAACCTAACACCACAGATTTGATGAAATAAGGTATTAGACTCTGTAGCAATTACTTTATATACTTCTTTTTCCTCCACTAAACTGTAAATTGAGAGAGCAAGGGCTACATTATAAACATCTCCGACCAGCATAGATTTAAGCACTCAACAAATACTAGTTAGATAGCATTTATTCAGCATTTGCTAAGTATTAAGTACTATCCTAAGCATTTTACTTGTACTAATACATTTAACCCTCAAAACAACCCATGCAGTAAGTACAGTTATTACAGATGGAGAAACTGAGGTTAAGAAACAGAAGTAAACTCATTCAAAGATTCACAAAGTTGCAGAAGATTTGAACTCACGTTTGTGGATTATGATTTATACTGCTGGTTATCATTTTTCCATTCAACAAATATTTTTTATTTAAGATTTATTTGCTTATTTGGGCAGCCCCGGTGGTACAGCGGTTTGGCGCCGCCTGCAGCCCAGGGCATGATCCTGGAGACCCTGGATCAAGTCCCACATCAGGCTCTCTGCATGGAGCCTGCTTCTCCCTCTGCCTGTGTCTCTGCCTCTCACTCTCTCTCTCTGTGTGTCTCTGTAAATAAATAAATAAAATCTTAAAAAAAAAAAAGATTTATTTGCTTATCTGAGAGAGATGAAGCACACTTAAGACAACTGGGGGAGGGGTAGAGGAAAAGAATCTAAGCAGATTCCCCATCAAGTACCAGCCCAACATGGGCTGGATCTCACAATCCTGAAATCCTGACCTGAGCCAAAATCAGAGTCAAACGCTTAACTAACCAAGCCACCCAGGCAGGGCCCCCATTCAGTAAATATTTAAAGAGCAATTATTCTAGGGCCACTATGTACTGTGCTAAACACTGGTAAGCAAAACTGGGTCCTCAGAAGGCTACTCTGAATCATATATCCATTCTTGAATCCTTCACCCTCCAAACACCAGAATAACCTACAAATTCACTAAGTTAAATCTCTTTCCTCTTTACTTTTCCTTTTTAATGTCTTCCCTTATAACCCTCCCTTAAAGTTTTTAGCACTCTATCAAGAACCAAACATGACGGGATCCCTGGGTGGCGCAGCGGTTCGGCGCCTGCCTTTGGCCCAGGGCGCGATCCTGGAGACCCGGGATCGAATCCCACATCGGGCTCCCGGTGCATGGAGCCTGCTTCTCCCTCTGCCTGTGTCTCTGCCTCTCTCTCTCTCTCTCTCTCTGTGACTATCATAAATAAATTAAATTAAATTAAAAAAAAAAAAAAGAACCAAACATGACAAAAAACAACAAAAAAACCTTTGTGCTCAATTATTAGCAGCTGTGAAAGTATCACAAAGGACAATTCAGTTTGGGAATGGGTGGCAAGATCAAAAGGGCTCTAAAGGAACAAAGATTCTGTTCACAAGCAAATATTCAAAGTAAAAAAAGAGGTAAAAATACTATAATTTTGTTATTTCTTAACATCATAATTTTGCTTTTAAATAGACTATTTTAAAAAGTTTTCCCATGGGGCACCTGAGTGGCAGTTCAGTTGGTTAAGGATCCCACATTTGATCTCAGGGTTGTGAATTCAAGTTCCAAGTTGGGCACTGTAGTGGGTGTAGAGTCTGCTTAATTAATTAATTAGTTAATTAATTAAATCCCAAGGCATGAGATTTTTTTTAATTACTAATTTTATCAGAATAAAAATGAGTTAGTAACCATTAATTCCTTTTTAGCCCTTGCTTTCTCAGAGACTTATGAAAAGTCCTGACATTCCCACTTGTTTTTATTGTTGTTAGAATATTTTACTTATTTAAAGATTTGAAAGAGAGAGAGCATGCACAAGCAGCAGTGGCAGAGAGGGAGAGGAAGAATTCCAAGCAGACTCCATGCTGAGCACGGAGTTTGATGCAGGCTCCATCTCAGGACCCTGAGATCATGACCTGAGCTGAAACCAAGAGTCCAACGCTTAACTGTACCACCCAGGCACCCTTTACTTCCCCACTTATGACAGACTGCTCACATAACAGGTAATCAAAGCACTGACCATGCCCTTTCTCTCCCGCAGGGGAAGATTCTATTTGGTTCATCTACTACATAAAAATAACCACAAATAGGAAAAAAGAATAGAAAGGACAGGAAATTCTCTTCACAGCTGAACAAACCTCTATCATTTTAACATAACACAGACGGCATTATGGAATTATTTGAACCAATGGAAATTTCCAGTAGAGGGAAAAATACATTACCAAAATTAAAAACAAATATCCAATTATTAAAATAAAATAGGACAGCGAGGCCAGCTCTAACATTTTATACCTCTATTTCATCTTCTGTGTGGGAGTCAAAAACAGAATAAATTTGTATTCTGTAAAAGACCAATGAAAAGAGTAACAAGTGCTTTCATTTTTAAATTATCCTTTAAAAAAAGAAGAATCAATGTTATGGATAATTACCGAGAGAACCAAGGAACTAGAGCAAAAACTTAAAGATGACCTATCACTGTGCATTTCCAGGAAAAAGAGGTAAAACAAGTTTTACCAGACGGAGAAGTTAAAGACACCTGGGGTTCATTTCCCCCATTCCTATAAAATAATTCACCGTTCTTATCTGAGAATCTTTAAGGATCTAGTACAGCCACTCCCCTACCTTTGCTCAGATTAAAGACAAATCACTCACTAACTTCCAAAAGGCCTCTCCATTTCAAGCTTTCAATCAATCTTCATAGCCAGCAAAAGCTGAAGCATCCGTCTCCTTCTGTCCTTCTGAAAGAAGTTTCATCTCTTTCAAAAGCAGTGGCTAGAAAGCCATTTTCTCTCTCTAGAAGCACAAGGTTTAACTCTGTCCTCTGCTTTGTCTACCCTAAATAACAACAAGAATAACAACAAAGCCTCATGAGTGCTCCTTCAGCCTCTCAGAAAAGAACCAGCCACCTCCTGGCTCTTGCACAGCTGCTTCTGTCTTTCTCTGAAAGACACTCCACCCTGGAGGTTCCACAGGCAGAGTAACAAAAAGTGGAGCTGAAAAAGCTGCTATATGCTTATCTGACCTCCTAAATAGAGACAGGGCCCTCAAGCAACCAGAAACTCCCTAGCAAAAGAAAAGTTTTTTACAATTTAAAAATAACAAATTGTATTTGCACATCCCCCTTTGTGCAGCCCTCCCAGCTTGTCTCAAACTAGTTGTCTCAACTCATAATAAAGCACATTAATACCAACTGTGTTATAAGACAAGGAACATGAGTAAGCCATGTTCTGAAAGCATTTAACAGATTGGCCCCTCCATTCTCTATTTCCTTCCTCTGGAGTAAGGAGCTACACACCATTTGTAAAAATGCCCAAGAGTATTTTTCCTACACAAGTCTGATGGCTAATTAGTCACATCACAAACTGGTATTTTTGCACATGATCCACCGTGCCTACGTAGAACGCACATATGTGCCTACTGAGGTTTTACAAACAATATGCTTCGCCTTGACAAAGAAATCAATCATTCTACTAATAATGGCAAGGTCTAAAATCCAGTAATATCGTGGTAATGTAGTACCATCGGCATAGTATCTACAATTTACAATCTTCATCAACAATCTCAAGCACATACATGATGCTTGCAACAGCCCAATGAAGCACCCCACATGTTTAGAGGTTCAGAAAGGTTAAGTGGGACCGGCCCAAGATTATATCTATCAGTCTTATCAATGGTGGACGTGGTTTCGAGCCTGTCAGACTCTAAGCCTCCTAGCTTTTTCCCCTAGATCCCTCCCAGCTTTAAACAGAGGGCTCCCGACTCCCATCCTCCACCCAGAAAAGCCCATGACTCCGGGCGACCGGCCCTTCCCTGCCTGGATCAGAGTTAGCTTCTTCTGCTCCAGCAGGGCTTTCATCCTCCACCACCCTCCCCCCGCGACCATTCTCTGAAAGAAGCGGAAAGGGAGAGGCGACCGAAAGCTCCTGGGGGAAGGGATGATGACAAACGGGGAAGCGCGGGACACTGCCCTGCCGAGGGCTCCCTCCCCTGCAGCACTCACCTCCTTCCCTCCGCCAAGCTGTCCAGCCCCGGCGCGGGCGATCCGGCCACCTATGCCCCAAATTCTCCCATCATCACCTCAAACTGTCCCTCCCCCACGCCCCTTCGCCTCCGACAGAGCCCCTCCCGCTCCGAAGTCGAGGTATCCTTCCACCAGGCCACCCCTCTTCTCTCTCGGCGTCCACCCCTCTTCCACCATCACTCACTGTCGGTGACTGGGCCCGGCCCTCATGGCTGCTCCGTAGCCGCCCGCCGCCGCCACCGCTGCTCCACGCCCCGGCCCCTCAGTAGCCGCCGCCGCCGTCGGGACTCGCCGGGAGCCGCTCATGCGCCTGCGCAGCCTGGAGTGCCGGGGCCCTCGACAGACTCCCGCGCCTGCGCAGCCCGCGCCGAGGCGTCTTCTTCAGTGCCTGATGCCCTGGACACCCCCCCACCCCCACCCCCACCCCCACCCCCCCGGGTCTCAGGTGGATATGGCCGCTGGCCTCGAGGACTTGTTGGCTTACAGGCTTTGGCGGCTGACCCTAGGTCCAAGGCCTCTGGATTATCTTGCCTATGTTTACTAAGTGCCTGGGCCGAGATGCCCATAAGGAGCCATAGACATAATGACACTTTTAAGATTCTGGATCCTACTTACACTTAAAGCTCTGAATGCAGGTGCTCTGAGGTGACTGATAACGAACTTGGATATCTTTTTTTTTTTGATTTTTTATTTATTTATGATAGGCACACAGTGAGAGAGAGAGAGAGAGGTAGAGACACAGGCAGAGGGAGAAGCAGGCTCCATGCACCGGGAGCCCGATGTGGGACTCGATCCTGGGTCTCCAGGATCGCGCCCTGGGCCAAAGGCAGGGGCCAAACCGCTGCGCCACCCAGGGATCCCCGAACTTGGGTATCTTTCAAGGAGACGATCACATCTAGAATGCATTGGGGCTAATTGTGTAAGAAGCAACTTTGACATCCCATTATACACTACTGGCCAGGAACTGAGTGCTCTGAAGCCCCGAGCATCTTGTCAAGGAAGTGACTGCATTTAAACTTCTTCGGGACACTGTTAAATTCAGTCTGTCTATCAAGCGAATACTGTGTATTGGACAAAGATGTTCTAGGCATCTCATATCTGCTGCCATCAAGGAATTTGCATGCTAGTAGTCCCCTACTTTCCAGCTCTCACTATGAAGCCTGGTCCTTGTGCAAATTGGTAAACAAAAACTAGACCTTTAGCCCAGGGAGACCCAACCTTCAGCCCCTAGACCATTGTGCTGCCTTGGCATAGCCAAACAAAAGATGAGGCTTAATTGAGTCTTGGGAATTCAACAATACAGACTTCACAGCTGAGGGCAATGCACTGCAGTAGAAGAGAAGAGGAGATACAGGACTAAACTCTCTCCATATTACCATGATCCCCATCTCATATCCAGCCCAGTCTTACCTCTACAGTTCAGAGTTTGGAGAGAGAGGGACCAAGATATAATACAAGGCAAATGAAGTTCAAGGAGGAGAAAGGATGCCAGGAGCAGTTCCATTCTTTCTGTGAAAGGTGTTAGAGAAAGCAAAAAGCAAAAGAAAGCAACTTATAGAGAAAACAAAAGCTACTCTTGATCTCAGGATCTGATATGAATGTTTAAACTCCTCATCTAAGGCTAAGGAGGGATGCCTGGGTGGCTCAGCAGTTGAGCACCTGCCTTTGGCTCAGGGCATGGATTCCATCCAAGGATGGAGTCCGCATCGGGCTCCCTGCATGGAGCCTGCTTCTCCCTCTGCCTACGTCTCTGCCTTTCTCTGTGGCTCTCATGAATAAATAAATAAGTAAGTAAGTAAGTAAGTAAGTAAGTAAGTAAGTAGTAAATAAATAAATAAATAAATAATAATAATAAAATATTTTAAAAAGACTAAGGAAATTTTTTCCTCATTTTGAAAAGAAGCCAGAATAGGCCCTACAGTAAAGTTCGAGAATGCTGAAAATGGAGTGTCATTTATATTACTAATTACAGATTACTAATTAAAAATGCACATGGGGTGCCTGGGTTGTGCAGTCGATTAAGCATCTGACTGACTCTTAGTTTTGGTGCAGTTCGTGATCTCAGGAGCGTGAGATCAAGCCCAGTTTGGGGTTACACGCTCAGCACAAAGCTTGAGATTCTTTCTCCCCTCTCTCTCTGCCCCTCCTGCTTGTTTTCCTCTCTCTCTCTCTAAAATATTTTTTTAAATGCATATAATGGAATGCTCAAGTCACTAAGAAGTGAAAGGTTACTCCCTATAGCACCTGGGAACCTGAGGATTTTTTACTCATCAGATACATGTGACTTTTACATACATAGCTATATGTTACTGTGGGAAAACAGTGTATAGATTAGCATAATTCAGTCCCCAGAAAAGCAAATCTACACAAAATTGCACACTTCATGTATGAACTGCCTCCCACCTCTTGACATATATAGAGTAAAATACAACTGCTGACAGAGTAGGGTGGTAGGGCCCAGGACCAATCCCAGAAGCTAGTGCCCGACTTGGAAGAGTTGTCATTACTTGCAAAAGTATTATGCTTTGGAATGAGAGCACATTTGGCACCATGGGGAAATTGAAGAGCCAGAAAGAGGAATAATTAATATTGACACTAGGGATCCCTAGGTGGCGCAGCAGTTTGGCGCCTGCCTTTGGCCCAGGGCGCGATCCTGGAGACCCGGGATCGAATCCCACGTCAGGCTCCCGGTGCATGGAGCCTGCTTCTCCCTCTGCTGGTGTCTCTGCCTCTCTCTCTCTCTCTCTCTCTGACTATCATAAATAAATAAAAATTAAAAAAAATATATTGACACTATGTTCTGATGAATGGATGTATAAAAAAAAAGGCCAAAAGCTGACCCCGAAACTTCCAGGAACCCTACTTTCCTAACTCTACCACCACATGCAATCAGTCCTCTGCTGGAATCTACATGATGATGATACAGCTTCTTTTTTAAAAAGTTTATTTATTTATTTAAGTAATCTTTATACCCAGTGTAGGGCTCAAACTCATGACCAAGATCAAGAGTCACACATTCATCTGACTGAGCCATCCAGGTGCCCTGGCAGCATATCTTCCTATATATGAATCATACGGGTCTCCTGAACCATTTCCCTATTTGAATTTCTTTTTTTAATATAGATTTATTTTTTAAGTTTATTTTTAAGTAATCTCTATGCCCAATGTGAGGCTCAAACTCACAACCCCAAGATCAAGAGTCCTATGCTCTTTTTTCTATTATTTTATTTATTTATTCATGAGAGACACAGAGAGAGAGGGGGGCAGAGACACAGACAGAGGGAGAAGCAGGCCCCATGCAGGGAGCCTGACGTGGGACTCCCGGGTCTCCAGGATCACGCCCCCGGGTGAAGGCAGCACTAAACCGCTCAGCCACCAGGGCTGCCCGTCTTATTCTCTTTAGACTGAGCCAGCCAGTCGCCCCATCTCCTTGAATTGCTTCCCAAGGGCAGAATAGCAGTTTTTTTTTTTCCTGCCAAGTATCGACTCACTATATCTAACGATAATCATTCAGAGAACCACCTCTATTCCATTTTCAGACCATATGATTTGAACAGAGCACAGAAATTAGACCCAAGTCATTCAGCATGTAACATTCTCTAAGCTACAATGATTGTTTCAGGAATGGACATGTAGCCAAGTCAGAACCAAAATACACATGGAGAATTTTTCCTTCGGGGAAATCTGTTGCTTTTTCCAACTAAAATTGAATGTAAGATGTAAAATCTGGAGATGCTGCAGCCATGTCAACACCACAAAGGTAGAGCCAATCTATAGAAAGATATATTCAATCTACAGAAAGATCCTGAACAAAAATTTATTGAGTACACATTATGTGTTAGAAACTATTGTTGGTGTAGAAGATACAGCAGTGAACAATATATATTGTCCTTGTCCTCATAGAACTTACAGTCTAGTAGAGGACATAGAATAATAAACACTTGAATGACATTTACTATATGTCAAGGACTGTTCTAAGTCCTTTATGCATATCAGTTCTTTTCATCATCACAACAACCCTATCCCTATTTTATAGATAAGTAAATTGAAGAAGAGAGAAGTTACTTGCCTCGGATCACACAGTAAATAATGGAGCTGAGAATGAAACTCTGGATATCTGACTCTATAATCTTTCTACTCAAATACTATATTATAAACTGCCTTATCATAGGAGGAAAAAAGATCCTAAGAGAATTAACCAGTCATGGAAGGAGTGACCTAAGGAGAGACCTGGAAGTGAGAAAGAATACCGGGCAATTGGAAGACTGAAAAAATTTCAATTGAGCTGAAAAAAGAGGAACGACAAGAGATAAGACTAGTGGAGATGCCTGCCTGGCTCAGTGCAAAGAGGATGCAGCTCTTGATCTTGGGGTCCTGAGTTTGAGCCCCATATTGGGAGTAAAGATTACTAAAAATAAATAAACTTAAGAAGAGAGAGCGAGAGAGAAGTCTGGCAAAGTAAGCCACTGCCACATTAGTTTATACTTTATTCTGAGGGCAGTGAAGCAAGGGAGTGACTTGTTCAGATTGGGGCCATGAGCGGTTGGTAAGACTGTGAAGACTCTTCACAATGCTCTGATAGTATTTCAGGCACTGCAATAGGATTGCTGCAGGTAGTGAGAAATGCTGTGAGGAGGTGACATTTAAGCTGAGACCTGAAGAACACAGAAGTCAGGAATAGCAGATAAAGGCCCTGAGGCAGGGCAGCCCTGGTGGTGCAGCGGTTTAGCTCCGCCTGCAGCCCAGGGCGTGATCCTGGAGACCTGGATGGAGTCCACATCGGGCTCTCTGCATGGAGCCTGCTTCTCCCTCTGCCTATATCTCTGTGCCTCTCTCTCTCTGTGTGTGTGTCTCTATGAATAAGTAAATTTTTAAAATTAAAAAAAAAAGGCCCTGAGGCAGAAATGAGCTCAGTATATTCGAGAGATGGAAAGAAAGCTAGTGTGCTGGACTCCTTGGGAATAGAAGGAGGGCTCAAGGACATTGGATAAGTCTAGTGGTAATAGTTAGGCATTGGAGGGTTTTAATCATATCCTTCCATTTTTATCCCCTTAAATCTCTACAATCCATCTCTGTCCACCATCTTTGCTGCTATTTTAGTGAGAAACATACAATGACATCTAGTTGAAAAAGGACTTCCAGATCAGGAAGTTTTGGGGTTTTGTTTTTCAAATGGAAGAGATTAAGCATTTTCTTTATTTTTTAAAAAGATTTTATTTATTTATTCGTGAGAAACACACACACACACACACACACACACACACACACACACACACACAGATGCAATATAGACACAGGCAGAGGGAAAAGCAGGCTCCATGCAGGGAGCCTGATGTGGGACTCGATCCCAGGTGTCCAGGATCACACTCCAGGCTGCAGGCAGAGCTAAACCGCTGCACCACCGGGGCTGCCCCTTTTCTTTATTTTTTAAAAAAGATTTATTTGAGAGAGAGAGCACATGCAAGTAGGTGGGGGGTGAGTAGGGAGAGACGAACTGAGAGAAACTCAAGCAGACTCTGAGTGTGGAGCTGGAGGCAGAACTCAATCCCACAACCCCAAGATCATGACCTGAGCTGAAATCCAGTCTGACACTGGGACTCCTGAATGGCTCAGCGGTTGAGAGTCTTCCTTCAGCTCAGGGTATGATCCTGGGTTTGGGATTGAGTCCCACATTGGGCTCCCTGCAGGAAGCCTGCTTCTCCCTCTGCCTATGTCTCTGCCTCTCTCTCTGGGTCTCTCATGAAAAAATAAATAAAATATTTAAAAACAAAAAGCCTGACACTTAACCAACTGAGCCACCCAAGCACCCAGGCGCCCCTGAGTATTTTTTAAAAAGGATTTTTATTAATTTGAGGGGTGGGGGTGGGGGAAGGGGCAGAAGGATAAGCAGACTCCCCCATTAAGCAGGGAGCCCAATGTGGTACTCAATCCCAGGGCCCTGGGATCATGACCTGAACTGAAGGCATACACTTCACCAACTGAACCATCCAGGCACCTCAAGATTAAGCATTTTAAAAATAAATGCTGATGAGAGGAATATAGTACAGAGAGAAATTGTCTATATAGAAAAGAAAGAATAATTCATGGAAAAATGTTCCTGAATGGGGTAAAATAATTAGCTTTAAGATAAGGACATCTACTGAGAGCCTCCATTGCTCTAAATCCTCCATTTTTCTAAATCCTAGATTCAAATGGACACATGATATTAGGTAGATGTGTTTATTATTTTCTTTTTTTAAGATTTTATTTATTTATTCATGAGAGACACAGAAAGAGGCAGAGACACAGGGAGAGGGAGAAGCAGGCTCCATACAGGGAGTCCTTGTGGGCCTTAATCCCAGGATCCTGGGATCATGCCCTGAGCTGAAGGCAGATGCTCAACCACTGAGCCACCCAGGCATCCCTGTTTATTATTTTCTTCTTCATTTTACAGACGATGAAACTGGCACTTGGAGAGTTGAAATAAGTTATCCAAACTCACAAAGATAATAAGTGGCAAGTTGACATATGAGCCCATCAGTCTATTTCATTTGATTAGCCTCTCCTAATCTCACAAAATACAAAATTTCCTCACAATATCCTTTGAGGAAAAAAAAAATCCTTTGAGGGAAAATCTCCAGGAAAGAAGAGAATTAACAAAGCACTTTGACACATTTCCTCTAAGTTTTTGTGTTATCCCAGGGATTCTTCCAAGGCGTTATCCATTGCCACTGCTGTAGTACTTAGCATATGTTCCTTGGATGATTTTGCATTTATTTACTCAAGCTCTTCAACCACTATTTAACCTGAAATTGCCCTTCACCCTAATTATAGTTGAAATGACATTTCACCTAACTGTCCATGGAAGAAGATTCATATTTTTCTGATTGCCAGCTGTCCTGTATTAAGTGGTATTTCTGTTCCTTGGGCACCCATATGCCCAAAGAACATCCAGAATGTCATGTGCCAGAAAGGTTGTTTCTTCTGCTAATAGAGCAGGCAGCCTGAAAGCTGGTGCCTGGTGCGATTTGCAAACCATCGACGCATTTAGCTGCCCAGTCTCTGTCAGTCCTGTGTCACTCAGAACTACTCTGAACACTCAGCCTCTCATTCCCACAAGAGCAGCCCAGTCAGTGGTTCCCACTATCTTTCCAACAAGTTTCCCCTCTCTGTTCTATATCATCAGTTTTCTCCTCTCCCCCTGGTCATTGCCTTGAGCAAAAATCACTGTCTTAAAAAAAGAAAAGAAAATCCTTTCTTAACTCCACTTCTCTGCCCCTCTTCTGTTACCACTCCCCTTTGTTCTGCTTCCCCAGAAAGATTTTTTTTCCTGGCTTTCTTCAATTACTTCTTTCGTTTCTCTCTCCCACTCTCTTCTAAAACATTTCATTCATTTATTTGATAGAACACAAGCAGGGGGAGCAGCAGGCAGAGGGAGAGGCAGAAGCAGGCTCCCCGCTGAGCAGAGCCCAACATGGGGCTTGACTCCAGAACCCTGGGATCATGACCTCAGCTGAAGGCAGACACTTAACTGACTGAGCCACCCAGGTGCTTTCTCTCTCTCTTTCTAAGGAAGCTCTCCACCCAACCCAACTTGGGGCTTAAACTCACAAGCCTGAGATCAAGTACCTTATGTTCTACCAACTGAGCCAGCCGGTTTTCCATTTCCCTCTCATTCCCTCTCAAACTCACTCCATTTAGGTTTTCTCTTCTTTTTAAGATTTTATTTATTTATTCATGAGAGGCAGAGACCTAGGCAGAGTGGGGAGAAGCAGGCTCCAGGCAGGGAGCCCAATGTGGGACTCAATCCCAGGACCCCAGGATCATGCCTTGGGCCAAAGGCAGACGCTCAACCACTGAGCCACCCAGGCCTCCTACTCCATTTAGGTTTTCACCTAGAACATGCTACCTGAACTGATTCTGTCAGGTCACTAGTATCTCTGTCTCCCTCTCTCGGCCTCCAGGACACAAAATCCTGAGGCAGATTTTTGTCCATTTTCTTCAGTCATACATCCCCAGCACCTGGACACGGCCTGTACATAGCATATGAATAAATCCCCAAGAGTTTGATTGAGAGGCTTCAAAGAATGAATAAAGCTTAAGGCCGCAAAATGACTAAGATGTAAGTTCCGCAGGCCACTAAGGCAATCTGAGGGATTGTAGGTGACTGTGCAGCTTCTTCTCCCTTTAAGACCCTCTTGTTTTTCTTCAGAAAGGAATGTCCTCAGGGAGGAGATCGTAACGGAGGTTAATAGATGGTAAACTGGATCTGTGCCCCTGAGGAACACACACCCAGGGAGTACTCCCTACAGGAGGCTCGCATAAAGCAAAGGTGCAGACTGTTAAGAGAACGCTGCTGACCAGCTAGGCCAAGCTGGGGGCTGGGGGTGGGAGGTGCTAGGGGAGGATGTGCAAGCCTGAAACCAGAGAGAACTAAAAGGCCCTTACGGGGACCGGCGGAACGGCACCTGCTCCGGCTCCCACTACCTTTCCTCCTTCGATGCGTCAGTTTCTCCAGCTGGGAGAAGGCAGAAGCTAAGAGAAAGGTTTCTGCGCTTGGCCTCATGGGAGATGTATCTCTCAGGAGGCAGGGCTAGAAGGGCCTTTTGCGAAACTCTGACAGGAGAAGAAGGAAACAGGATGTAAATGGGGGTCCAAAACGATCACCATGTCCACACAAACTCTAAATAGACATCTTCCTTTTTCTTAGCTTCGGTCTGTCTCCAGAGCTGTTTCTCCTCCAACCCACTTCCTACGTGCCGTGCGTCTCCGCTCTCTGGGCCAATCTCGCTCTCTCCTGCTCGCTCGCCTTTCCACCGCTCTATCCAACCGCAGGTGCGCGCCTGGTCAGTTCCCGGCGTGCCTTGCGGCCGCAATGGCTGCCGCCAGCCGCCGCTCCGCTCTTCTTCTTCCGACCGTGTTAGGGATCAGGCGGTTGGGCCCCGATGCCGCTAGGGAGTGGGTGGCTCGGCTCTCCTCGCTCTCTGACTGTCAGCGGAGGTGCGTGTCCTGTTGTTCGGGAGCCGCCTTCTCTGGTCCCCGCCTGGCCTCCGCCTCTCGCCGTTATGGCCAGAGCTCAGCCTTGGACCGCTTCCTCGGACTCTCTCAGCCCGGCGGTTCGTTGACTTCTCATCCTCCCGCCGTGTCCATGCACAGAGGTAAAGGGCCCAGATAGGCTTGTCCCGAACTGTCACGGTCTTAGCCCTGAAAGTTCCGGGTCGGGGAAACTCCTCAGTCCCTGGGGTATCATCTCTGGTCCTATATTATGGAAAACGATCTTGAGGCCCCGAGAGCGAGGCAAGCCTTGAAGGATCTCAGAGGAAAGATATACCAGGTTCCAAGAGGGAACCGATGTGGTCACAACCAGAGACGCACGAAAAGAGCAAGAGATTGAAGGGCCACAGGCAAGGCAGAGTTGTCGCTCTCTGCCCTGAGATGGGAAGCAAACTCGACCCAAATAGTGCCCCCATCTATTTGCCAAGAGACTGAATTACACCTAGGAAATAGCTCCTGTTCTTCAAGTAGCATAGACTACACTTTGGTAAGGAGGCTGGACACAAAAACTGGTAATTTTTATGTAGTATTATAAGAAACTAATACATAGAAATCTGAGCAAGCTTGCAGAGCCTACATAACACCCTTCGAAGGGTGAGATTGTCCGAGCTGGAGGGATTTCTGGCTGTAACTGATCTGGCTATACTTTCACACACATACACATATTTATCAGATAAAGCACAACTTCCCAGTACGGTTCCACACGGTAATTGTATTAAGTGCTAGGCATTGTGTTTGTTTTTATAAAATTGCCAATTGTCAAAAGAAGGTTTTAAGATAAGTAGGTATTGTTAATATTATCTCCACTTTACATGTGAGAAAACCAAGGAACTTAGAGAACTTGGTAAACTCATATAAACAAATTAATGGACAAACTAAGTCTCAAAGCCAGGTCTCAGCTTCAACCTGGTATACTAATCTTGTATTCTTTACTTCCTTTGTGGGTGAGTAGAACTGAGTACCTGACAGGGCATCCAGGTTGCAGTACCTCTCACTCCCCTCCTGCCCCCACACACAGATGAGCAGGATCTCCTCTTGGTCCATCGTCCTGATATGCCTGAGAACCCTCGAGTCCTACGAGTGGTCCTCCTGGGTGCCCCAAATGCAGGGAAGTCAACACTCTCCAACCAGCTGCTGGGCCGGAAGGTATGCTACATCCATGACGCCCAGCCCACCCCCCTCCCCTTCATCTCACTTTTTCTGTTTCTTCATGAATTGACCTACAGTGATCTGGGACCTCACTTGGGATTTCTTTATTTCTGGCAGGTGTTTCCTGTCTCCAAGAAGGTGCACACCACTCGCTGCCAAGCTCTGGGGGTCATCACAGAGGAAGAGGCCCAGGTGGTGGGTAGCCTGCAAAGGAAGTCCAGCAGACTGGGCAGAGGGTGGACTTAGGAGGGTCTCCTTTACAGTTCAACTTGAAGAAAATGTTTAGATTAACTGCTTTGAGGGAAGAGGGTCTCCTCTTTTGTTAGGCCTAGTGCAGATCTCTCTCTCCTTTCCCCCCTCTGGCATCTAGTCAGATGCCATTCCCTCTTTATTCCTTCCCAATCTCCCATATATTCACAGTCATCATCTTTTCTTGGATCTCATCTAGAATTAAAACAAAGCTGGAGGGTAAAAGTCCAGGCTTCTGATGTCAGTGGTGGCCTTTCTTTCACTTGCCCATCTGAGGGGGCCGGGCATCTCTCTTTCTTGATTTTAGATTCTGCTTGACACACCTGGCCTCATCAGCCCTGCTAAACAGAAAAGGTAATAGTTGTGGAAACGGGTTTGTAAAGGGCAAGGTGGTAAAGGAGAGGGTGGGGAGATTCCATCGTAGAGGCTGGAAGACCCTCTTATCACACCTTATCCCTCATTAAGAGTATATCAGTCCTGGGGATCCTTGGGTTGCTCAGCGGTTTAGCGCTTGCCTTCGGCCCAGGGCATGATCCTGGAGTCTTGGGATTGGGTCCAACATCGGGCTCTCTGCATGGAGCCTGCTTCTCCCTCTGCCTGTGTCTCTGCCTCCCTCTCTCTCTCTCTTTCTCATGAATAAATAAATAAAATCTTAAAAAAAGGCAGGAAGTCAGTATCTTGGACTTTAGAAAAAAAAAAAAAGAGTATATCAGTCCTAAGACCCTTCCTGACCTATGTTTGTATGTCCTCAGGCACCATCTGGAGCTTTCTTTGTTGGAAGATCCATGGAAAAGCATGGAATCTGCTGATCTAGGTTAGACTCATGATGGGAATCTGAACCCCAATTGTTCATGGTAGTTTGGAAGCTGGGGGTTGACCCAGAGCCCCTATCACGGACATTTTTAGGGGGTGGGGAAAGAGTGGTCATATTTTTGTCCTCCTCCCCTCACTGCCTACTTCTAGTTGTGGTTCTGGTGGATGTCTCAGACAAGTGGACTCGGAATCAGCTCAGCCCCCAGGTGCTCCAGTGCTTGACCCAGTTCTCCCAAGTCCCTAGCATCCTTGTCATGAACAAGGTGAGCACCGCCTACCTGAATAAGGAGTCTCCTTTCCTCCATGGTGCCCATCTCACTGACCACACACCTCCTACCCATCCTCCATGTCCAGGTAGATTGTCTGAAACAGAAGTCAGTTCTCCTGGAGCTCACAGCAGCCCTCACTGAAGGTGTGGTCAATGGCAAGAAACTCAAGATGAGACAGGCCCTTCACTTACAGTCCGGCACTCCTCGCCCCAGCCCAGCAGCTAAGGAGCCAAACATACAGTCCATGGGAGGCCCTCAGAGGATTGGCTGGCCCCACTTCCGAGAGATCTTCATGTTGTCAGCTCTAAGCCAGGAAGATGTGAAAACACTAAAGGTCAGTTAGCCTTGGTCATAGTGTGGCCTTTCTTTTCTACCATGTGAAGACAAGCCTTAGAGTTCCTCCTGGGGGCAGCCCCGGTGGCGCAGCGGTTTAGCGCTGCCTGCAGCCTGGGGTGTGATCCTGGGGACCCGGGATCAAGTCCCACATCGGGCTTCCTGCATGGAGCCTGCTTCTCCCTCTGCCTGTGTCTCTGCCTCTCTCTTTGCTCTCTCTGAATGAATGAATGAATAAATCTTTAAAAAAAAAAAAAAAAGAGTTCCTCCTGGTAGTGAGTGAATAAGAAAGGAAAGTCTTGGTTGGGACTGAACTGCCCACCTACCCTCTTTGTACCCACAGCAATACCTCCTAGCACAGGCCCTGCCAGGACCCTGGGAATACCACAGTGGAGTCCTCACTAGCCAGACGCCTGAGGAAATCTGTGCCAACATCATCCGAGAGAAGCTCCTAGAGCACCTGCCCCAGGAGATGCCCTACAGTGTACAGCAGGTGTGGGCGTGGGCACAATGAAGGGATCTGGGGGCTCTTCACCAGGCACACAACCAAGACAGGATGCCTGGGGCCCAGAGAGGAAGGGATATGGGCCTGTCTGACTAATCATGTCTCCCTGTGCAGAAGACAGTGTTGTGGGAAGAAGGGTCAAGTGGGGAGCTGGTGATCGAACAGAAGCTTCTGGTGTCCAAAGAATCTCATGTGGTAAGTCGGGTTAGGCTTAGGTAAAAGACCAGGGCATTAAGCAGGGGTTCTTCCTCCACTGTTTGGAAGCCCTGAGAGCAGGCTTATGTCTTTCTCTGTTATCCCATCCTCAGAGGATCCTGATTGGCCCAAAGGGGCGCTTGATCGCCCAGATTGCACAGGAGGCAGGCCACGACCTCATGGACATCTTTCTCTGTGATGTTCAGCTCCGTCTCTCTGTGAAGCTTCTCCAGTGACCACCCTCTGCTGCCTCTCCCAAGGGTCTGAGCCAGAGCTGCTGGCAGGAGCCACTGACCAGAATGGCCCTTGCCCAGGGCCTCTAGGGACTGGTGGGAGGCATGGACACTGTCCGACGGCTGGCTTGGCCTTGCTAGGTCTGCCTAGCCCCTATTTAGCCATGTCTTCTTTTGGAGGAAGGAACTTAGCTCAGTTCTCAGGTTGTTTCTCTGCCTGGGGCCCTAACTACTTCAGTCTCGAAGTTGACTCTTTTGTAGGAACAATGCCAACCTGCTTCTAGCTGGCACCGAACCCAGAGTTTCTCCCTGAGTTGCCAGTTTTAGCAGAGAGGTCTTTTTCCTATCCCCTCAGTTCCTCTACCTTAAAGCCATGTGTGAGGACCTGTGGGTCCTAAGTGAGATAGTGCCACTCACCCCATGCCTTTCCCCTTCTCAAATGCTAATAAAAAGACAAGCATACTGGTTCTCATCTTTATTTCTTTAGCACAGGAAAGTAAAAACTCATTCCCTCACCCCCACACTGTTGTCTGAGCTGGAGTGTCCCTTCCAGTGGTCTGCTCCAGGGTCCCGAGCTGTCTTCTTGGCACGTATTGTGGGTACAGCAAGAGAACCATTACCATTACTAAACTCAGTAATGGTAACGGTTTCCTCGCCATCCCCAAGTGTCTTGGCGGTCAGCAGGCTGGATAGGCTGAGCAGTAAGCCCGGTGGGTTTGCAGCATGCTCTGCCCTCCTCATCTGGCTCCAGAGCTGTGGGGACCCGGACTAGTACATCATCTATACTGTAGTATCTTGTCGCAAACTTACAGTATATGATGATATCCTAGCCAGGGCCCTGCAGCAGGCACAGGGAGCATGGCTTGGAGAGCACTGTGGCAGGGGGAGCCAGGGGCCCAGGGCAGAGCAGGACAGGTCAGTACACACAGAGCTCCCCCCTCCCTGCTCCATAGCTCCTGAATCAGCAGTGCCTTGATTGTGTGGTCAGGGGCAGCCCAAGTCAGGTAAGGAAAGAAACTGGCCTGGAAAATCCTGCAGAGTTAGGGTCTGTTGAGATCTCCTGGGGGACCCAGTGCCAGAATTAAACAAGCCAGAGATCACATAATGAGACAGAAGGTTCCCTCTGGTCAGACTGACAAGCAGACAGACAGGCCCAGGAGAGAGCACTTACCTGGAGCTGGAACTGCATGTAGACTGGGGAGGCCTTTAGAGGTAGGGAGGCCCAGACCCTGGCTCTTCACTCAAGCTGCTTGCCTTTTAATCCTTAGGCCCCTCCCCTGGGTGGGGCACTTTCCCTGGGTTCTAGAAAGCCCTGCCTCTTAACCCTTTCCCTGCTAGACTTGGAACTAGGGTCACTGGCTCCTCTCCCTGTTAGGCCCTTTTTCACATGAATTTATGGACCTTGCTAAAGCTAGGATCTACCTTTCACTCCTACCCCATGAAGGTGATCATCTATCTGCTGGGCCTGGGAGGAGGAACAGCCTCACCCCATCCTTCAGGGTTTAATTGTTGCCCATGACCCAAGTGGGAGTGGTGGTTATTTTGGTCATGGAATGGCGAAGGTGGTGATAAAAATGATACTTACCAAAAAAAAAATATATATATATATTAGTTGAACCTCTATAAAGCAGAAAGGGTCCTGACAGCTGGGTTCTTGGGGCAAGCTCTGCCTTAAACTTCAGTTCCTGGGCCCCTGCCACATGTGTATGTGGAGCCCAAGTTGGGTAGACCTAGGCAGGCCAACTTCTTGCCCACTTCTGCCATGGCAAGCTCCCCTGGGCAGGGCAGGGGGGGGAATCCTCTGCTGGGACATTTGAGGGCAGGTGAATTCAAGCTCTTCTCGAGAGCCAGTGTAAGAATGAGTAAGGGGCCTGTTCAGAGCTTAAGCCACTTATAGTGAGAGCCTAGCAATATTCAGTTCTCTGCCTCTGGAGAAGGTGAGACTCTTCAAAACAGGGCCTCTGTTATTTATTTATTTTTTTAATTTTTTAAAGTATTTTATTTATTCATGAGAATATATAGGAGAGAGAGAGAGAGAGAGGCAGAGACACAGGCAGAGGGAGAAGCAGGCTCCATGCAGGGAGCCCGACATGGGACTCGATCCCGGGTCTCCAGGATCACGCCCTGGGCCGAAAGCAGCGCTAAACCGCTGCCCTTATTATTTATTTTTAAAGATTTATTCATCTGAGGAGAGCGAGCATGTGCCTGTGAGAGGGAGTAGGGGATGGGGGGCAGAAGGAGCGGGAGAGAATCTTAAGCAGACTTCCTGCTGAGTGCAAAGCCTGATGTGAGGCTTGATACCATAACCCCAGGATCACGACCTGAGTGGAAACCAAGAGTTGGACACCCAACCTACTGAGCCCCCACGCACCCCACCTCTGTTATTTTAGATAGCCATTCCAAGGGACACATCTGCTTCTCTGCTCCCTCCCCTCCCCATCCTAGACAGTCTGGTCTGTGTTCTGGGAGACAGTTATACCCCTCCTCTGAAGGAGCAGATGAGACCAAGATGAGTGGGAGGAGAGACCAAACCTTCTTTTGATTCCTTGGAGATGTTCTGCTTCTTGCTGCCACAGAATGTCGGCACATGCTCTTCCCTCTGTTTTTTTGTTTTGTTTTGTTTTGTTTTTTTAAGTAATCTCTACAGCCAACATGGGGCTCAAACCTAAAACTCTGAGATCAAAAGTCGGGTGCCCTGCTCTTCCTTCTGGCATAGTCTTCCCTCCTTTCTTGTCTAGTTAACTTCTATTCCCTCTTCCTATGTAAGTATCACCTCTGCAGGGAAATCTTTTCTGGCTAGTTAAATCTCCCTGTTACGGGCTCATTCATTTGTGTGATTAATCATTTAGGCAAATAATCACAATGACCTGGTTTATTGGCTGATCATGTCAAATGTCTGACATAGAGCTATAAACTCAATATGATGTAGGGGAGAAAAAAAACTTTGACCTGGGGAAGCAGGCAGTTAAAACTATAGCTCTTAGGCAAGTCTTTTTCTCTCAGACCCTTCCTGTTCTTGTAGATGCCATAATGACAGTCCCCAGTTCAGAGCTGAGCTGGGTGACTGACTACTCACAAAGCACTTAGCCCAATGAACCAGCCAAGTCCCCCTCGTGGAATATTCTTAAAAGCCGCTCAAGGCATTGAGAGCCCAGATTTAGAAATAAAAGGCCCTGGGGCACCAGGATGGCTCAGTGGAGCATGCAACTCTTGACCTCAGGGTTGTAAATTCGAGCCCTACATCAGGTGTGAAGATTACTTAAAAATAAAATCTTAAAAAGAAAGAAAGGAAAGGGAAGAGAAGGGAAAGGGAGGGGAGGAAAGGAGGGTGCCTGGGTGGCTCAGTTGATTAAATGTCTGTCTTCGGCTCAGGTCATGATCCGAGAGTCCCAGATTAGAGCCCCTCCAACTCTCTGCTCAATGGGGAGTTTGCATCTCTCTCTGCCCCTCACCCCTCTAGTTCTCTCTCTCTCTCTCGCTCTCGCTCTCTCAAATAAGAATCTTAAAAGAAGAAGAAAAGGAAAGGAAGAGTAGGCCCTGAGTGACAATCCCTCATCCCCTGCATAGCTCTGTGACCTTGGAGTGAGTGCTCTCAACTTCAGTTTTCCCATATGTACCATGGGAGCAATCCATACCTAGCTCATATGGTGGTGACAGGGTCCTGTGAGTGCTCATCTCAACTTCCCAGGTCAGATCTAACACCTGTGGAACCAATGTCCATTTCCTTCCCTTCCTTCCTCTCTGTCACTCACTAGCTGTGTGACCAGAGGCAAAATTCTGCTTCTCTGAGTTTTGGTGATAACACAGCTCACCAAGTCATAAGACTTGAGAAATATGGCTGAGAAACCTTTATAAACCCAGGCGCTCTAGCCAGGTGAGAAAATACTGTACGTCTGCTTCTTGCCCCCTTTCCTGTCCTGGGACCCCTCCTGCCACCTCTACTCACCCCACAGATACTTCAAGCTCCTTTACCAGAGTAAAGGCTTCATGTACTAAGGCCAAGATTTGTGCCACTCATTGCCTGGCTTCTGCCTAGAACCTGCTTAGCCCTAGACCAGAGGTGAACGTGAGCAGAAACCAGGGATCCTGGAGGTAGAAGAGAGCGCTGTCTCGGTCAGCCCGAGATCCTGTGGCTGTGGCCCTGGCTGGGGTGGAGGGGGCTGGCATCAGGGTGGGGGCTGGCACAGAGTCTGAGCCTGGGTGGGGTAGTCTGGGGATCCTGATAAGCAGACTTGGGGCTATCAGGGTGGAGGCTTTTCTGTTTATCAGAAGCCTGCAGGGACCCCAGTAGGAGCTGAGGACACTTCCCGCCCAGAGTTGTATCCTGGATGGCAGCCCTGCTATCCCTTTGCCTCCTTAGAGCCCTTTCCGCAAGTCCTCTGGAGACCCTGCCCTCTTCCTGGCCAGCACGGGGTTGAGAGGACACAATCCACATCCTCGGACCTGGCCTTGTATTCTAACAACTGTTCCTTTAGCTCAGAAGCTCCGTGGCTCTCCTGAAGCCCAGTGTGGACTAGTCTGGGACCTTAACCTTCTCACGTCTAATTCCAGCCCCTGCCATGCCAGCTTTAGCCCTTGACTCTTATTGTGATCTTCTTTGGTTGAAATTCTTAAACCATATGGTGAATGACAAAGTTAAGGGGGGGGTCAGATCTGCAAGAATCCTTCAAAATCATGGAGTTCAAGTAATCCATTTGTGGAGGAGAGGAAACCAAGGCCCAGAGAAGGGGAGCAAATCGCCCCCAAAGCCTCAGGGTTCCCATCACCTTTCAGGACCTGGGAACCCATGACCTTAAGAAGAACAGCACAGCAGCAGCAGATACAGATAGACACACATAGCACATGGAACACACATGTGCGTAGCACACGTGTAATGCCTAAATATACACAGAGATACACAGCACACATATTTAAAAAATAGATTCAGCTTGTAAAATTACTCTTAATTTCCTCTGGACTTTACTAAGTTTCATGAAGTTGGCAGCTTTGCACGAGAAGGCGGCCCAATCCTAGGGTCAGTCAGTGTCTCATTCAAAGTACAATTGGCAGCACAACTCATCCTGGAACCAAGGACTTTGAGAAGTTCTGGGAGGTTCTTGCTTTCCTGTTTTGCTTTACAAAAGGGGAACCCAAAGTAAGAGCCTGGTAGAGTCAGTCCTAGGAGCATAAATGGTATGAGAAAGGAAAACTGTTCTAATCTTCTATGTGATAGCTTGGGGCTTGAGATCTAGGGGACCCATCAGAGATGACTGCCTGGGTTCATCGTGGCCAGCCTGTGAAGTTTCTCCTAACTCTCCCTGACACCTGTCCCCTCAAGTCCAGGCTTTGATCCTGCTGTTTTCCTCATCACACTGAGAATTCATCTGATCTCTTATTTGTCCCCAACTACTCTGTGAGTAGGCCCCTTGTCGGATTCTTCTCTGGGCACCAGCACCCCTCAAGGGTGCTGCCCTGTTAGGTGC